AACAGCAACCTGCAACAGCAACAAACAATGTATAAACTTACATTTCCCAACATTTCAAGGTGACATCTTTCTTGTGTTTTCGCAACTTGCAGTGACGATCATAACGCAGCTCCGACAAATGACAGAAGAATTTAAAACCTTGCAGCGAGCTGCACCATCAAACCCGCTTCGGCCCGCAAGTGGTGGGGGGGGGGGGGGGTAGGTACGATCGTGTGCCCCGGTGTTGGCCGAGAGCCTCACTCAGTCAACAAAAAAACGGCTCGCATTGACCTGGCCCCGACGGCGTGAATGAGTCTCTCGTCCGCTTTGGAAGAGATGGATTCAGTGGAGGCAAGGGAAGGAGTTGGAGGAGGAAGTGGGTGGTGGAGGCGAAATCGATCTCGGTTCTGTCCCTTTCAGCAAAGACGCCACACAACGAGAACCCCAAGCACGGCCTCTTCCCTGTTGCAGCTACGCTCCCTTTGACTGGCTCTTTCGAATTATAAGACGCACTTGCCCCTCCACTGTAAAGCAACCACTGACAATGCGAGGCGCGTCGTGCCCTCCGGAGCCGTCTCGCAACCCAATCCGGATGTGTCGGTAATACTCGGCTCGGACACGTGACCTGAATTGTGACGTCACTCGCGCGTCACGACGACTCTCCGGCCGTGGAACGCGTCTGCGTGTTTGTGCGGTGGGGTTTTTGTTGTTGTTGTTGTTGTTGTTGATTCTGCTGCTGCGTTTCAAACGAATGGAGCGTTAGCGCGCCCGCGAGCCCGGAAGACGCCGTCGAAGGCTCCGCAGCTACGAGCGATCATCGCGACGACGACGACGACGACGATGGGTCCCGCACGGCATTGTGGGAGCGAGGAGCAGGAGGAAGAGAGGCAGGGTTGGTTGGTGGGGACGGGAGAAGATGAGGAATCCTTTCAGCAGCAACAGGCTCGTCGATAATCGAACGGTTGAAATCGACTTCAATGTTTTCATTTGGTTTCACTGAGAGGCTTCGTCACGATCTCGATGCTCGCTTTGGAGAGTCGTTTGCAACCGGCTAACGGCTTGCTGATGAGCGATCGTGCCGGTTCAAGGCAAAGATTGGGGAGGAGGGGGGCGCGGGGGGGGGGTGTGGGTGGGATGTTCCTTTACCCAGGATGCCGTGCGGTCTGAGTTTTATTTCACCTTTTAGCCGGGTCCACGCACGAGCGATCGATCGGTCCACGCAACAAAAACATCTCTCTCGAAAATCGCCTGAGACGGCTTTGCTCAACGCCTGAGCAACTGGTTGCGCAGCAAGGGCGTGGCTGGGGGAGGGGGTAACGTTCGTGGCCACGCCCTCTACAACATAGCTCCGCCCCTTGACCCGTTAGCTCCACCCCCCCCACCCATCCACCCACTCACCCACACTAGCAAATGTGGTGTTGAAATGCTACAAATCGCAGTGCAGATCGACGTTCGAAAGTGTGCGGAGTCTGCCTCCTCGACTGTGAGCAACCGGTTACGCAACTCCTCGCAACCGGTTGCGGAGTCGTCAACATAAAAGCGGTTCGGTTGCATGCAACCAATCCTGCGCAACCGATCGGATCCTAAACGCCCATGCATTGCAAAAAGGTCAACACATTGCTCGATAACATTGTCGCCTTATAAAGGGGGAAAGAAAATGAACATTGAATCGGCGAAGTTTCTGACAATGACCCTTCTCGTGCATGTGCTATGAAGGGCCACTGCCCGAAACGTCGCCTGTGATATTTTTTCTCCTTTTAAGGCCACAACCTGATCGAGGAACGTATTGAAGTGTTTTTTCCCCCCATGAACCGTGCCTGTGCACCGCCTCCAACGCAGCAGCGGTAGCAGCAACATGACCAAATAATTTCGCTTACACTTGGGCAAGCCGCCACCGAGGAGACATCCGCGGAAGTTCCATCGCGATGTTCGCGATTGGGCAGCTCCCGCAGATTTCCACACAGCGGTGAAGCTATTTTGACAAGTGGCGAGTGGTGGGGGTGGTGGTGGGGGTTTATTTATGACGCGACTCGACAGCGCACGGGCGTGGACCCCCGCCCATCAATGCGGCGATTCGAGCGACGTTTAAACAAGTGACTCCTCTACTTACGAACGCTCGACTTACGAACTTTCAGAGATACGAACAAACCTGTACCCTAACGTCAAGTTGCCTGTTCGGACCGAGTGTCGTTAAGTTCAACAGCCGCGCAATAGACGGCGGTGGTGGCACCTACATCTGCGGAACGTGAAGAACCAGTGGCGTCTACATCTACGGGAGATTATACAACTTTTAAAGCCATTCCACATATTTCGTGTACACGCCGTACAACGTGTTTGGATTCGACGGGAGTAAAGTTGGACTTACGAAGCAAATCGACTTACGAACAGACCTCTGGAACCTAACTCGTTCGTAAGTAGAGGGGTCCCGGAATGTTGTTATAACGTTGTGCGGTCTACGTGCCATCTCCTCAACATGTGGAATCGACGGGTGTGAAAGTTGGACTTACGAAACAAATCGACTTACGAACAGTCCTCTGGAACCTAACTCGTTCGTAAGTAGCGGAGCCCCTGTACCTGCGGGGGAGGTGTTGTTTTCCTTGTTTTTTTGTAAATCGACGGCCTCTTTGCTTCCGAACGGAACCGCGTTCAGAACCACAAACTGTAAACGTAAGCGCTGAACACGTCAGCCACGCGGCGCGTGTAAGTCGACCGACCGCGCGCCACAACATCGATGGATAACTGAGCCGGCAACTCTACTACAAGTCCACGTGGTAAATCGGCGTACATTAGGCCCGGCATTGTATGAGTCGACATGTATTTCAGAGAGGGGGTCGACGTACATCAAGGTCAACGTATGCTATAATTCGACGTATATTTGCCGACACGAGGTCGACGTCGAGACACGTTAAAGTCGTCGACATATATCATAGGTCGACATATATATTCAATTCGACGTATATTAAGTCTACTTATAATTCGACGCACATTGAGTCGACGTACGGTATTCTATAAGTCGACGTTAAGCTCGGTCGACATACAGATTATTAAGTCGGTACATTTCAGAAGCGTTCGAGACATTGTGTTTTCCTCTCTCTCTCTCTCTAACTCTCGAACTCTCGAACTCGACACGCACCTCCTAAAAAGGTCGACGTACATTTTAAGTCGACACGCGGTGTGCCCACGTTAAGTACGGGCTATTTAGTAATAGACACATCGTAGTTAAACCGAAAGACGACAACGAAGGCCTACCGTTGATAACAACACGGATATATGGCTGTGGTTACAAGACACAGTGTAGAAATAACCGCACATTCTGTAAACACCACGTCACGAATCCTACGCGCACATTGTGCAAATGCGTCACAGGGTAGACATCCACGGAAGCTCCGTCTATGGCGGCGAGGGTGATGGTGATAGTGGAGGAGGGCGGTGGGGGGAGTTGTGGAGCTTCCGCGGATTTCTACGCAGCGTGAGGCTTGTTTTTGTGATACATGGCGATAGAGGCGAGTCGAGTTTATTTTTGACGCGACTCGACAGCGCTTGGAAAACGAAGAGCATCGGCCTATGGCTATGTCACAGACACACACACACACACGCGTGCGCACACACACACACAGGAAGAGATACACACGCACAGAGGTATACTGTACATGCACACGTACACAAGCACATAGGCACACAGACAACACACACGTGCACACGCGCGCACGGGTGTACACACACGCACGGAGATATACGTGCACACGTACGTACACACATTCTTTACAAACACGCGCAGAGAGGTACACGTACACAGGTACACACGGAGATACACGTGCACACGCGCATATGCAGATACACACGTGGACAGAGAGACAGGTTTCGCGCGTACACAAAGACATGTACACAGCAACGCACACGCAGATGGAGAAGACGAATAACCCTTTGTATACTGCTGGATAAAGTGTTGTTAGCGAGCACCTGTTAAGGCCGGGACGGCGCTCGAATGGATGTCGTGGCCAACCCCACGCTCTGCCACCAGCGCGAATATTTTCACACCGCACCGGGACTCATTTGAAGGCCGAGCCGACCAAGCGGAAGCCCACGACCGGTTCAGATAATCGTCACCGGTGTTAGCCGTGAGCGGGAATCGGAAAACCCGGGCCGACGGGTTCGTAGCGCGGCGAAGCGCTAAAACCGTCACACCACCGCTGCCCAGGCAGACGTACACAGGTACACGCGCGCGCACACTCCAACCAGGGCCGTATTAAGGCATGGGGGCTTTAGGGGATGCAGCCGAAGGAGCCTCCGCGAGCTGGAGGACCTCCAGAGATTAAGTTAAAAAAAGTTATTTCACTTGTGAATGCTGAATTTTATTTGTTGTTGTTAGCCTTGTAAAAAATATTGTTTCTTTTTCTTTAACTTTGTTTTCCTTCTGACAATATTACAGGGGGCCTCACAGTACCCTGTAGCCCAGCGGCCTACACAATCTTAATCCGGCGTTGACTCCAACCACACATTTACGTGTCCCCCGGCCTTTCCTGTTGCTGTCCATGGTGCTGAGCCGAGCCAAGGCAGTCAGGGACGTCAGCCGCACGGAACGTTTTGTAATTTGACCGCTGTGCGGCAGCGGCGGTGGCGGTGGTGATTGTGTTGGCGGTGGTTGTGGTGGCGATGGTGGCGGTGGTGATTGTGGTGGCGGTGGTGGCGGTGGTGGATGTGGTGGCGGTGGTGGTTGTGGTGGCGGTGGTGGCGGTGATGATTGTGGTGGCGATGGTGGTGGTTGTGGTGGCGGTGGTGGCGGTGGTGATTGTGGTGGTGGTGGTGGCGGTGGTGGTTGTGGTGGCGATGGTGGCGGTGGTGATTGTGGTGGCGGTGGTGGCGGTGGTGGTTGTGGTGGCGGTGGTGGCGGTGGTGGTTGTGGTGGCGGTGGTGGTTTTGGTGGCGGTGGTGGTTGTGGTGGCTATGGTGGAGGTGGTTATTGTGGTGGCGGTGGTAATTGTGGTGGCGGTGGTGGCGGTGGTGGTTGTTGTGGTGGCGGTGGTGGCGGTGGTGGTTGTTGTGGTGGCGGTGATGGTTGTGGTGGTGGCGATTGTGGTGGCGTTGGTGGCGGTAGTAATTGTGGTGGCGGTGGTGGCGGTGGTGATTGTGGTGGCGGTGTCATCACGTGGCCTGTGCCAGGGCTGAGCTTGGAGCGAAGTCGGGCGCAGAGGGCGAGGGATCATCGGTTGGAGACCGGGTAGGTTTGGAGGGCAGTTGGATTTTGGGATTGGCGTAGTGTAAAGGATATAGTCAGGGGTAGGGTTAGGGATTGGGTTATAACTAGGGATATGGGTGACGTTATGGTCAGAGGAAGCTTTCATGGTTACAGATTCGGTTACAGGTAGTGTTAGGTCTAGGGATTAGAGTTTAGGGGTAGGCTATAGGTAATGGGGGTATGGCTAGGGTGTAATCCTTATTATGACTTCACTGCTGAAACCATTGTCACGCTGAGCTCCAATCGCACAGCGGATCATTTGTCTCTGGTCTTCGCTGTCGATGCGGCGCCACGTGACAGCCACTGACGCCCGCCAAAGGGCAACGGGTGGAGAGTCTCGCGGAGGGCAACACGCGCACTCACTCAGCAGCGGTGGGCCAAGGGCAGCCGAGAGGCGCGCGCGCGCACGCACGCACAGGCACGGCGCGCGCGAGGCTAAAGCACGGCGGGGCGGTGGCCCGGACAGACGCGCAGAGACGCAGGCCCCGCGAGTGGGAGACAAAACCCCCGGAGAGAGGCACAGAGACAGATTGCTCGGAAGAGGCAATCGACATTGAGACACCCACCCACACGCGCGCCCACGGGGACGAGACATTCGGGTGAGCGAGCTGGACAGACGGCCGGTGATTGCAGACGCGTGAACAGACTGTCGGGCACACAAAAAAAATTCGTGAACGGACAGCCGGACAGAGAGACAGACAGACAGACAAAGGGACAGACATTTGGTCGATTAAACAGACAGATGGGCAGACCGAGCAGAGAACACGCGGACGCACGCGCGCGCGGAGACACCGCCCAGTCTCACACGGGCGTCGTCCTCCTGTTCCCCGCCGTCCCAAACAGCGACTCTTTGAGCTCCAGCGGAAAGCAGCTGCCGGAGCCAAACACGGCCCCGGTCGCGTCGCGTTCACAGTCGAAGCTGCCTCCGACGCCGCTCCCGGGCGTTTCGTGCGGCGGGGCCGCCGCCGCCGCCGCCGCCGCCGCTGCCGCCGCGTCGCCCGTGAGCGTGTAGAGCGAGATGCCCCCCGGCAGCTTGGGCGCCGCGAAGGGCGGCAGCGCGAGCGCCGAGGCGGCGCTCGACGCGGACGAGCGCCGCCGCTGGCGGAAGCGGTGGCTGGGCAGGCGAGCCAGGGCGGCGGCGCGCTTGGCGAGGAACGCCGGGCGGCTGGCGCTGCGCGCCTGGCGGAGGGTGTCCACGTAGGTGTGCACGATCAGCACGCCGATGGTCTCGGCGACGATGAAGGAGAGGGCGCCGAAGTAGAAGGACCAGCCGTACGAGTAGCTGCTCTTCTTGGGGTCGCCCTTGCCCGGGTCGCCCGAGTTGCTCGAGATGTAGACGATGATGCCGATGATGTTGGCGAGGCCCGCCGCCACGAACGAGATGCCCGCGCCCAGGATGAGGTTGTGCTTCGAGCGGTAGAACTCGCTGCCCGCCACGCATAGCCCGCCGCACAGAAGCAGCGTCACGCTCAGGATGGGGAAGGCGCTCGAGGAGCGCATCATGCCTGGGTCGGTGGGGGGGGGGGGGGGGGGGCGACACGGTGGGTGGTGTTGGTGCCCCGTGAGATGCGACGCTCACGGCAAACGAGCTGAGCGCCCGAAGGCTAAAACACAACAGCAAGCTGGCACAGTAGGGGGCACAGGTGGTGCATCGGCTAGTCGTCTCAGTCAGTCGACCCATGGTACCTGCTGGGTCTGTCCCGTGACCTCCTGCCAGCGGGCGTTCGACACTTCACGTGGCCTAAAAGTGCACATAGCCTGGCACGAGCGCCGTGGTCATGTCACTGCCACTTAGTGGCGAATGGCGGTTGTTGTTGTTGTTGTTAGACGGAACATATGGGCTCAGGAATGGAGGACTCGCGTGTGCAGTGCCGCTCGGTTTAAATAGCCCAGCGTCCCAAAATGCCTAACGTCAGATCCCGTCCCAACCATTCCGATGCCCGGCTGTAGGTTTCTGCTTTTCTTTTTTATAGCCTCGGGGATCTCCTGATGGCAGCTGTCCCTGTGCGGCCCAGGGTGAAGTAAGCGTCGGCCTGCAAGTGGGCATTCGTCTGTCAGTCGGGGGACGATGGTATTGGTTATTCCAAATCGATGAAACAATTCGTTCGTGAGCAAATTTCAAAATTGGCAAATGTAAACATCATTCTCAACGCGGAGGGAAACCAAAAAGGTAAGTGCGCTTTGGGGGGCAGGACGCATCGTGGAGAGAATTAATGATGGCTCCTGTTCAAGAATAGCGATGGGAGGGGCTGCTGCCAAGCTTTGGAACACATCCTGCGAGCACCTCCGCCGAGGATATGGATCAACAGCATTGGCTCGTGTGCCGGTGCTCGGTGGAATTGATTCCATGACAGGATGGTGAGTGATGGCGACGGTTTTGGGAAGGCTCTCTTCCAGCAGTGGATTGATCATGGCTCGAGATGATGATGCTGCTGATGATGGACCTGTGGCGAGCGGTATGCGGGAGCGAGCGTGCGTGGCCTTACGCAGGAGGTACTCGGCCATGTCCTTATTGTCGTAGTCGTTCTCCTCCGGGAAGTGATCAATCTTCCTGCACACGCCCACGTTCGAACCTGCATAACCGCCACCACCAGCAGCAGCAGCATCATCATTACCATCCAAGTCATCATCATGAGTATCCTATTCATCATCACAGTCATAATCATCATTAACATCTAATTAATCATCATGATCTGCATCCAATTAATCGTCATCAACCACGTCATCATCGACATCATCCAAGTCATCAAAGTCAGCATCATCATCATCATCGTCGTTATGATACGAGTTATCATCATTGTTAAAGTTATTCAAGTACTAAAATAACGCTGCCCTAAAAATAATATACTGTACATTATATAAAATGGACGATGTTTCGGGTAATAACCCTTTTCATAGCCAAAGGATGTAAATAGATTATAACAACAACAAACACAAGTGGACCCGTAGAGTATTACTCTCTATCTCCTTCATATGCCAATACAAGAATATATTTTTATTATTCTAAATAGAAAATATACGAATGTGTTGCATTGTTTATGTGGAGGGGACAGATAATGTGAAGGTGTATACTGTCTGCTTATTTATTTATTTTTAAACAATAATTATTATTGTCATTTACATTTGTGAAAGTGGCGCATTTCATCCGTAGATCGCAACGCGATGGAGCGCAGCAAATAAAGAGAAGCTTCAGGGTACACGGCCAGAACCAGGCATGCGGGGGGCTAAAGACCAATTTAAAGAGGTGAGTTGTACAAAACGAGACTTCAGTCGCTCTCACGACTCCGATGTGGCTTATTGACAATGGCAACGCGTCCCAAAGTCTGGGAGCTACGCAGTGGCAAAAGCCCGATCGCCGTTTTTTTTTGTATTTGAAACAGATGTTAAACGCCTTGACTGAAGGCCCTCTATATATATAAAACGCAAGATAAGGATCAGGAAGACAGCTTTGATCTTGGAGTACTTAGAAGAATGCGATTCGAATATGTCAGGAACGTCGTTGGAGTATATTTTGCTACTTATCATCCGCAATGATTATGCTGCGTTATCTATTACTCTCTAGATCGTTATCATCATCATCATCTACTGTCAGTCATAGATTCCGCAGTTGGCATGTATTCCTCGTCGCCGCGTGGATTTTTTTTCCGGTTCTTCCCGTTTTGCCCTCCACATGCAGAGTCAACATCACGCGTTTGGAGTATTCGGCCGATATATATTTCCACACGATGGTCAGCCACTTCGTTGAGCTATCATTTGCGTGATAGCCAGGTCGCTTTTGAAAAAAAAATAACTCCATAGCTCATTGGGGCCTTTACCTAGAAAAATAAAAAAGCAATCACGCCGTCCGCGTGTCCACATTTGGCATCGCCGCCCGCGAGTGCCGTTCAGCACCCGGGACAGCGCCTCGCGCCGTTGGCTGCTGATGGGAGCGAATTCGCATGCGACATTTGGATCCCTCGAGAGGGTGACGTCACCAGCTATTACTATTTAAACGACTTTTTTATTTTACCAGGTAAGGCCCACTGAGCTATATTGCAAAACAAATTTCAGAAGACAGCTGGCTATCACAAATGATAGCTCAACGAAGTGGCTTATCGTGTGGCCATTTCTCGCAGCCAAATACTCCAAAAAGCGTGACGTTGATTCTAAATGTGGAGGGGAAAACCGGAGGACCCGGAGAACACGCAAACTCCAAATATACAGCAGCAGGCGTCTGGGTCGAGATCCAACCCACGACCTCCTGTATACCAGGCGAGATAGTTAACATCTCGTCAGCGTGGGACCTCTCTCGCCCAGTGCAGAGAAACGGCACCAAAGGGTTAAACATTTTAATTTGAAGTCATGAGGGTCGTTAGGCTCAATGTCATTGATGCCATCACGCCTCGCCACCGCTTCCTTCCTTCTGCACGATCGCTCACAGTGGGGTTTCAAAAGTGCACAACTTGACCTCCAGGATCTGCTCGTTTGCAGTGTCGCCGTCGCGACCTTCACCTGGCCTTAACTCTTCCGACTACAATGGGCACGTCCTTGAAGGGCCGATCTTACAGTCTCGTCGCCGCACAGGGCCTTCGTAGGTCAGCGGTTCTCAGTGCCACCCTGAAGTCACGTCAAAGCCTTTCAGGGGAGGTGGGGGGGGTGGGGAGTGAGGTTGAGGGGGCGGCGGTGGGATGGCTGCGGCATGGACACCGTGCAGGAGAGGTGTCAAATGTTTGCGGGCAACGACAGTGCCGACGTTGCAGTCACGAAGCACGGGAATGCACAACACGAGTACAATGCCTCGACAACATCGCGCTCAGCGGAGGCGTCTACTGCGGCCTTAGACAACAGCGGTGGGGGCTGGGGGAAGGAGGGAGGGGGGTGGGGGGCTTGAGTACTAGTTTTATTGATTTGGGCTGGGGGGGGGCGCTATACCACACAATTAAAGAACCACACTGGCTTAGCTCTTCCCCCTCGGCCCCCTCGGATCTCGGGTTGCCACTTCCACTGCCCGTCTCGGTAACCCGCACCGCCCCATCCCGCACGCGCCTGCCAACCGGTCCCGTCCCGAATCCAACAAACCATCGCAAGCATTTTCCGTAACCCCTCCAAGTTTGTTGAGCCTTTAAGAATAGTTGTTTTACCCTTTATGGCAATAGAACAGGAGGTGTTAAGATGTTAAAAACACCAAACTCAAACCTTTTGCAAGGAATTATGTCTGCATTAACCACACGTACTTGTGGTGAACATGGGGGGGAGGGGGGAGGGGGGATTGGCCAAATATTCACGTGGAATAAAAATCAGGCTTGAGATGAAGTGAGGCTTTCTTGGGTTAATAAAAATAATAGTAGTAGATATCATCATCATCTGTGCGATACTGGTATTGTTTTAAGGGAAGCCTGCTTCACACCGAGCTTATCCGACATAACAGAGACTCAAGGCAACTCGTCAATGACACTGCCCTATAAAAGGGGATATAAATAAAACGTGTGTAATAGGCGACGTTTCGGGCAGTGACCCTTTCTTCATGGGCCATAGGTCTTTCTCTCGGTGGCCGAGTGTTTGGCCCATGAGGCAGGACCATTTTCCGAAACGTCGCCTGTAATATGTACACATGTTATATTCGTACTGAGAGTGAAGAGTATTTGGGGTAGAGGTCGCCCTTATGGTAGGGGGGTAGGGGTGGCGGGGTGTTTGGAGGGGGTGGGTGGAGGTTGTGGGGTGATGTTGTGCATCACCGAAACAAATAACATAACCCTAAAACTCCAACCTCCTCCCGACCTTTAACCTTCACCAACACTCCCTCCCCACCACCACCACCACCAACCCCTCCATCCTTCTTCAACACCACGGTCCCCCTCCCCCACCCACCGCCCATCTCTCGATCCCCGCGGGATCCCAGAACCGGTCCAGACCGCATCCGCGAGGCACACAAAGCGGCGTCACGAGCACGAGAACAAGCGCGCGGGTCACGTGACGGAGGACCAGCATGCAGAAGCACGCATTGCGTGTGTGAGTGTGTGTGATTGTGAGTGCGTGTGTGAGTGTGTGTGAGTGTGTGTGAGTGTGTGTGGGTGTGTGAGTGAGTGTGTGAGTGTGTGAGTGAGTGAGTGTGTGTGTCAGTGAGTGTGTGTGTGACTGCGTGTGTGCGTGTGTGTGTGACTGCGTCTGTGTGTGAGTGAGTGCGTGTGTGAGTGTGTGTGAGTGTGTGAATGTGTGTGTGTGAGTGTGTGAGTGTGTATGAGTGCGCGTGTGTGTGTGAGTGCGCGTGTGTGTGAGTGCGTGTGTGGGGAGCGGTGAATAGCGGTGAGCGCGCTGTGCTCCGAACCTGTCGACCCGAGTTCGAATTCCCTCTCACGGGCAACACCCAGTGACGATTATCTGAACCGGTCCTGTAGCTCCCCTAGGTCGACTCAGCCTCAAATGAGTACCTGGTGCGGTGTGTGAACATCGTCACTGGGAAGACAAAGGCGACCGGGCGTAGTGTTTGCCACCCACCCCCTCGTGTGCCGTGCCGACCTTCACAGGGTTGCTATTCGTTAACAGCACTTGCCCCAACAGTCTGTCAAGGCTATACGGGGGATCTTTGTCTTTTTATTTTATCATGGACAGGGGTCGACAACCAAAAATGACCCGCCCTTACTGGACATCTGTGAAAATAAAAGGAGCTGTCTAGCTCACCGGATTCTGATTTTGAAACAAGAAGAGCCAATGCTATGTTTTCGAATTCGGTATTCAAGAGTCGCATACGAATCTTCACCAATAACGTTCACGAAGCAGTACCCGCAAAGGTCATGGGCCAGACAGATTCTCGCGCGCGATCACCGCTGTAATGAGGCCACCGACTCTCTTTGTGTTGTTTCCGCGCTTACACAACAACAACAACAATAAAATCAGCGACAACAACGACGACGACAACAACAAGCCCACGTTTCTGCCAAAAGGACGTTCGGCCAAGGTCAACGTTGTTGTTCTATTGATGCCCGAGCGTGCGTCCGTTGTTTGTTGTTTATATTTACCATATATAGAATATAACACATAACTAGTGCGGAATTATCTTGGCCACTGCGACGCAACGTGCGGTTTGTACGCAGCAGTTGGGCAAGTTGGCACGAATATGTATTGCAATTAAATCATGACTATTACTTTGCGGGCAAGGTTTCAAGGTCGTGTGGTTGACCTTGAGGGCTTGTCAGCCTTTGAGCGGAGAGTGATTTAATATTCCCGGCGATTTGGCTTTCTGTGTAAATTGTCAAATGGATTCATCTTTTCGGCGGATGCAGCTATTGCCGAGTATTACACTGATAGATGAGCGTGAGCTACAGTATTGTAGACTGTATGTACCCAGCTTATAGACTGCATGTGCTTCCGATGAGCACGGTTGGCTACGTAAAGAAATTCAACATGCACACCTACCGCTTATAGACTGCGTGTGTCCTATATAGACCGCATGTTGTCTTTACAGGCTGTATTATTATATAGACTGTAGGCACTCCGTAGACTACAGTATTCTAGGCTCTTTGTAGACCGCATGTGCCCTTTATAAACATCGTACCCTCTGTAAACTGTACCCTTTCTAGACTGTATGGATACCCTA